ATTTGGCATTTAGGAATGCATCACTCTCTTTTTTTGGAAAAAAAATCCACCACATTGGGCAGAACTATTTTTGAGGGAGTCTATTCCAAATTTCACAGCGCTTAATGTAAAGAATCCTTCCTATATGTGGAAATTAAAACTCTTTTTCTCCATGCAAAGAGAGCCCCCCCCCCCCCATTTGTAATGACCTATAAGCTTATAGACGTTTAATTACACATAAGCCTGTGTGGGGAACTGTGTCAAATGCTATATCCACAACCACGCCTTTGTCTATGTTTTTGCTTACCCCCTCATAAAAAGAAATCAGATTTGTTTGACAGCTCTGGTCTTTCATGAATCCATGCTGACTATTGCTTTCAGTATTGTTTTGTAAACAAAAACTCTTCTATGTGGATCAAACTCTCAAGCATCCCCCTGACTAAAGAGGGTAAACTAACCAGTGTTTAGATAACTTGGTAGAGACTTTCATACCTTTTTAAGTATAGGCACCACATTGTCCTTGTGCCAGTCTGGTTGTACTATGCCAGTCATTAAAGTGTCTTTAGAAATTAGAAACAAAGGCTTCAAAATAACAGAGCTCAACTCTTTGAGGACACATGGGTGTATCCCATCCGCCACAGGTGCTTTAATTCACCTTTCATTTTGTCTAAATGTTTCTGGATTATATTACTTTTGGGCCATTGTGGTTCTTTTGGGGCTATGTCAGTACTATTCCCATTATGCACTTAAACACCACCATTTTCCTTTGTATACACAGAGATGAAATAAAAATATGCCTTCTCTTTGTCCCTAGTCACAACCTCCAAATTATCCTGCAAAGGCCCTACATGCTGAAACCTTTTTAATATCTATATATATGGGGGGTTTGTCTCAAAAAACAACTCCAGGCAATAGGAAAATTGTTTTGAGAGCTTCATATAGTATTCAGCTATGCTAACATCACTTATACAGCAGTCAACCTTTACATCTGAGTCGTACATGTACTGTGGTTGCCCCAAAAGAAAAAATGAACTTTAATGGCATCCCAGTCTTAGTTTATAGGGTTCAATATTGAGTTGGTCCACCCTTTGCAGCTATAACAGCTTCAACTCTTCTGGGAAGGCTGTCCACAAGGTTTAGGAGTGTATCCATGAGATGGTTTGGCCATTCTTCCAGAAGTGCATTTGTGAGGTCAGCCACTGATGTTGAATGAGAAGGCCTAGCTCGGAGTCTGCTCTAATTCATTCCAAATGTGTTCTATAGGGTTGAGGTTAGGATTCTATGCAGGCCAGTCAAGTTCCTCCACCCCAGACTCCCTCATCCATGTCTTTATGGACTTTGCTTTGTGCACTGCTGCGCAGTCATGTTGGAGCAGGAAGGGGCCATCCCCAAACTGTTCCCACAAAATTGGGAGCATGAAATTGTCCAACATGTCTCGGTATGCTGATACCTTTAGAGTTCCCTTCACTGGAACTAAGGGGCCAAGCCCAACCCCTGAAAAACAACCCCACACCATAATCCCCCCTCCACCAAACTTTACACTTGGCACAATGCAGTCAGGCAAGTACTGTTCTCCTGGCAACTGCCAAACCCAGACAGGTCCATCGGATTGTTAGACTGTGAAGCATGATTGGTCACTCCAGAGAACATGTCTCCACTGCTCTAGAGTCCAGTGGCGGCGTGCTTTACACCACTGCATCCAACGCTTTGCATTGCACTTGGTGATGTAAGACTTGGATGCAGCTGCTCAGCCATGGAAACCCATTCCATGAAGCTCTCTACGCACTGTTGTGCTAATTTGAAGGCCACCCGAAATTTGAAGGTCTTTAGCTATTGACTCTGCAGACAGCTGGCGGCTTCTGCGCACTTCAGCACCGGCCCTGCTCTGTCATTTTACATGGCCTAGCACTCCATGGCTGAGTTGCTGTTATTCTTAGTTGCTTCCACTTTGTTACAATACCACTAACGGTTGACCGTGGAATATTTAGTAGCAAGGAAATTTCACGGATGGACCATGGTTGAATTCACTGAGAGCGACCCATTCAAGCTGTTATACCAACATCATGGCTGCAGAAGTCCATTTACATCTGACTATCTATAGGGCTCCATTGACCTTCCGATCAGGTCTGCCTGAAAAACTGGCAGTGTTAAAGGGGCCTTGTCTCAAATGTCTGCCTGCTGTCACCTCCACAATAAAAATGTATGCAATATGCAGCATCTTTCTAAGAATTTCTTAGTTTCCTGACCCAAAAACTTCCTTGCATTACAAAGCCTATCTACCCTCTTTCTCTCCTGTCCTTGGCCTGCCTATTAAATCTGTTACCTCGCTGTCAATCATTTGTGTGTGCATCATGTTGGGGATGTGCTAATTCCATCTCTGTCTCTGTGGACATAGTTTTGTGTGTGATTTCCATGGTAGACATTACCAGGTCTATAAACAGGTATATTTACATAACTATACATTTACATTGACATTTTTTTTTTACTGAAGATGCATCAGAGTGGATGGGGGAAAAAACTGGTAAAAAACATACCAATTTCCAACTAAACACCCTTGTTGTAGGCACTCTATATTTACAATACTTACATTTACTGGCATTCCTCTACAGCTCTGCAGCATCACCTTTGTGGCATTGAGTGGCCTGGTGACAGTCCATCCATGATGGGGCAGATGGTGTATTGCAAGCTTCTGAATCTGAAAGTACTGGGATTTTTACAGAGGTGGAATGGGGATTAGGACTTTAGAAGAGTAGTGGTAATGATAACTAAAGGTAATGAAGAACGTCAAGCATCGGGAGGAGGAGAGAGGAGTGGATTGTGATTTTTTTACCTAGTGTGGTTCCTCTCTGATCTCATCTTCTGTTATCTGCGTAAATCACTTCTGACAGTCGAACTGGACAACAAACAATCATGGGAGAGGACCCTGATCCCCATCACACAGCAGGTGATTGACAGACTCAGCTGTCCAATTTCCCTACTAGACTGTGTAGAGGGGGTGTGTCAATTCCCTCCACTCAGGTCTGAGATTACACTGAGCTCTCCTCTTATGTAGTGCAGTGTGTGACGTCAGGTCCTTTCCCCCTGCTTTCAGGAGCTGAGAAAAGGCCTTTGATCTTTGTGTTTTAGAAGGCTGTTGAGGAGAGAGGACCACAGATATATAGGTGGTAACTGATATTCCCTGGGCTGGGGGGTAGGGCATCTTGTCATCCAGAGGGCACCAGGTGAGGGAAGGGGGGGGGGGCGCCACCGCTGCTCCTGTGGCTGGCAAGCTTGGAGGAATTCCGGAGATGTCACTGCAGTGACAGCTCTGCAAAGTAAACAAATAGTGGCAGCAAAGGAAGACTTCCACCACTGGCTTCCTCTGCTGGGCTCTGCATTAGATGCGTCAGATCCTGGCAGAGAAGTGAGGAGAGGAAGTTTTCTTTTGCTTTTGCCTTTTTATTAGATCATGTGACCTATCACTGCACTGGCATGCCTGGCATCCTATCAGATGAGAAAAATTAGCAGACAAAAGTGAGAGGGGGATGATTCTTCTAAAGCATTCCAGATGGTTCAAGCAGCCAGGTATTGAGCACCAGTGGCCCCCCCTCCACCACTGCCTGGCAGTGCCTCAAATCTGGCCCCACTAAGCACCAGGACCCCAATCCCCCCTCCCTAGCATGAAGACCCCCATTTCCAACTTTTCCAATAAGCACCAAAACCCCTATCTCTCCCCACTAAGCACCAGGACCCCCATCCCCCTTCCTAGCACCAAGGTCCTATCTCCCCCCGCACGGCAGCAGGACCTCCCATCTCCCCCCTGTAAGCAGCAGGTCCCCCATCTCACCCCACTATGTACCAAAACCCCCATTTCCATCCCACCCCACTAAGCACCAGGACCACAATCTCTCTCCACTAAGCACCAAAACCCCTATCTCTCCCCACTAAACACTAGGACCCCCCATCTCCCTCACTAAGAAACACGACCCCCCATCTCTCCCCACTAAGCACCAAGACCCCCCATCTCCATCCGCTAAGCACCAAGACCCCCCATCTCCCCCCACTAAGCATCAAGACCCCCCATCCCCCCTCACTAAGCACCACAGTCCCCCATTTCTCCCCACTAAGCACCAGGACCCCCCCCATCTCCCCCAGTTGAGCACCAGTACCCCTTTTGTCCCACTTTGAACACAAACCTGCATTTTGTTAGGCAGGTATGCGGGGTCGGGGACCCCATCAAGGAGGCTGTAGGGGGCCCCATGATTTCTAATAGCGACCCTGGCAGTTACGTTACATTCTTGAGGCACACAGTTAAACCTTTGATTGCCCCAGATGTTATGCCCTTCCTACCCAGTGTCATTAGTACAGTGACAATGCATTTTTATTAGCACTGATCATTGTATTAGTGTCACTGGTGATGTCAATGTCAGTTAGCCAGTGTCAGAATGCCCACTGTACTATCACAGTCCCACTATAAGTCACTGATCGCTGCCATTACTAGCATTAAAAAATCACAGTATTAATACCATCATTTTTAGATACTATAATTTTCATGCAAACTAATTAATGTACACTTATTGGGTTTTTTTTTTTTTTAACCAGACATGTAGGAGAATACATTTTAGCCTAAATGTTTGAAGAAATTTTATTTATGTTTTTTATGGGATATTTTTTATAGCAAAAAGTAAAAAAATATTGTTTTGTTTTCAAAATGTTCAATCTTTCTTCGTTTATAGCACAAAACATAAAAAAAAAAAATCAGATGATGATCAAATACCACAAAAGGAAAGCTCTATTTCTGTGAAAAAAATTATATAAATGTAATTTGTGTACAGTGTTGATAGTGCATGACCACGCAATTGCCCGGTAAAGTAACGCAGTGCCGTATTGCAAAAAAGCTGTGTTAGTTAAACTGGCTCCTACCATTTTTAGCTGTCTCTCCTGGATTAAAAACAAATTTGTCAAGCCCTGTTGTATAGCATGGAGGTACTTAGATTTGCTTGTATATTTCTTTTGTTTTACAGATTTCTTCTGTTAAGATCATGTATCGGGGAAGCCAGACTGTGGGTACATGTGTGGAAAATCCCACTATAAATGCCGAGGATATTGGAGCAGACCGTGAAATGATGGATGATGTATTTGACACTACGTACCGCGAGAAGAAAGGTCCCAGACCTCCTATGAAAATAGTGTGGAGAAATGTCATATTGATGTCTTTATTACATATGTCGGCAGTATATGGAGTCATTCTTATACCATTAGCAAAGCCCGCTACCTTGGTTTGGGGTAAGACAATACACTCTTCATGTTCACTAATATCAGGTGTTGCCATGTCAGAACACATGCTTTTTCCAGGTCAGAGACTCACTATGTAGTAAAGCAATAAGAATGACAGTGCCAGAACCTACGTCTTCAAATGGCCAGCAACAAAGGTCTTTCGATTGATTAATAAAACCAATTACCAAATCTTTCTTAGGGACACTATACACATTACAATCTGATCATAACATTTTTGTACAATCAACTTTAGGTTTACCATCTGAGGACCTACCTAAATTATCCAATTAAATTGTATCTAGTCAGGCAGGCCTTTACACTACATAGTTTTTGGTAGATCTATATTTGTCCACTGAGCTTGACTAAATATGGGCATGTGTTCATATAAGGGCACTGAAGTCACCATCTTCCCACCCCCTTGGTAATGTTTGTGTGCTGTAGGATGAGAAATGACCCACTGGAGTGAAAAAGTGCAACTTGGAAGTTCGGATAGAGATGGGTTTGATGAATGTCCAAGCTCTTCTCTGAACTTCATAACCCATTCATTATGCTTTAGGAAAAACCATTTACTGGTTCATGATAGGAGAGCAGCGGGAGTGGGCTGCACAAATATATAGTTTTCCTAAATGTTTCCTTGTATAACGGTTGGAGTCGTGCTGACTCCATGAACCACAGGGTTATTTATTGCAAAGAGCAAATCTAAACTGCAGTGTAAAGTAATACCACATAGAAACCATTCAGGTGATATATTATTGATGTCAGGTGAATGCTGATGGTTTGAGTTACTGCACTTTTCTAATTTCCTTAGGGCTCATCCACACCATGTCCATTGAGCTGCAGTGAGCTATATTGATAAATTCAGGCTGAACACAAATTAAACAACTGTTTTCTGTGTGACTTGCTCATACCATATATTTTGTATTTATTACAGGTAATTGTATAGTGCTGTCAATTTATGCAGTGCTTTACATACATTCAGCATCAGTCCCTAACCCTCAAGGGGCATACAATCTAAAGTCCCTAACTTACATTCACAAATGTACTAGGTACAATATAGACAGGATCCAATTAACCTCCCAGCTCTTGGAGTGTGGGAGGGAAGCAGAGTACCCAGAGGAATCCCACACAGGAACAGGGAGAACATGCAAACTCCAGGCAGGTGGTGCCGTGGTTGGGATTCAAAACGACAACCCTAATACTGCCAGGTGGAAGTTCTAACCATTTAGCCACTGTGCTGCCCATAGGTGCATGTCTTTTTTTTTACACAACACACAAAAATGCATGTCAGTGTGAGTTAATGTGATGCACATATCATAGAAAAAAAGTTAGAATTTTGAACTTTACATTGGCCTGTACAGGAAGAATGCATGTAAAAATGTAGTTCAGTATGAAGTAAAATGCAGTGCAGTGCGTTACAAATTGCTTGTGAACATGTATGCATTTTATGCACATTGCGATGTGAATGAGCCCCTATTAAATAGGTCTGTCGTTTTTTTTTACATATATTTTATTGCCATGTTAGTAATTTGGATAAATGAATAAGATATTGAGAAACATTTTATTCTCAGTCTTTATTGTGAACAATATAATATACTGTTGCTTTTTAATGTGTGCATTCCTACTCGCTAAAACATGTGTGTCATGGTTCCCCATAGTAATGATAGTGAAGGGAATTTACTAAATCTGAAGCATGCAGAATCAGCAGCAACTGTGCATGACAACCAAACAAAAACCAAACATTTATACTCACGTAGGCTGTCCCCTCAGTTCTGCAGTGAGAACTGAGTGATCAAACACTGATGATTGCTCAGTTCTCTCCTTCGTTCTGAGCAGATAGCAATAACTATCAGTTGCCGGCCCTCTGCTCTGCCCCTCCAGCGCTCACTGGAGCACCAAGCGGGGCAGGGAACAGCTGGCTCAGTCCCCCAGCGGCGCAGCTGAGCCAGTTGCCGGTCCAAGCTTCTGGGCGGATACTGACTATATGGTTGGGATCTTTTCAAAGGCTTAACTGGCTGAGTGACGTCTGCAGACAGCAGACTTTAGCCTGCTGTTGGTTTAAAATGGGTCACAGGAGTACAGAACGAACTGCACTCCTGTGACCTACAGGAGAAAAATAGCCAAAATAGCTTTGACTATTCTTTTCCTTTAACTTTAGCACAGTGGCTAAATAGTTAGCACTTCCGCCTAACAGTACTAGGGTCATTGGTTCAAATTCCAACCACAGCACCACCTGCCTGGAGTTTGCATGTTCTCCCTGTGCCTACGTGGGTTTCCTCCAGGACATGCTGGTAGGTTAATTGGCTCCTGTTTAAATTGGCCCTAGTATGTGTATGTATGAATGTAAGTTAGGGACCTTAGAGTGTACACCCCTTGAGGGTTAGGGACTGATGTGAATGTACAATATATATGTAAAGCTCTGTGTAAATTGACAGCGTTATAGAAGTTCCTGAAATAAAGAAGCTGATTGGTTAGTATACTAATTTTGTGAATAAATACTTTTAACCCTATTCACTCCAATGTATAAAGTCAAAAACATTAAAAAACAAAAGTTATTAAGCATCAAAACACGTCAGTGCACAAAGGAAACATAGATTGATGCAGGACAGCACACCTGACTAATGCTACAAAAAACACACATCTGCACACATGCATAGATTTAAAAAGGCCCTGAATCACAGCTAGTATTTTTCAAACAAAAGGATTTGCAGTGATGCTGACTGGTGCATCAACAGCATAAACAGTTGAGTTTTTGAAGCCATTACAATATGCTGTTAGGCAGAATTGATTCCAGCCATTTTTTCTAAGTGGATTAGACAATTGGAATTATTGACTGAGCACATTGTATGAAATGGATAATAAATTGCACATCTTTTATTTAGCAGAAAGACTTGGCACAGATTCATAAATCTGGAAACTTTCAGTCCATGTGCAAGCACAGTTTCTGGACCAAATACTTTATATGCTGTTAGAGTCTTTATTGACAGTTTATAAATGAGCAGGAAGGTTGTTTCTCCCTTGGTAGCACTTGTCATTGCACTGTAGAGATGTATGCAGGACCTAACTTCATATAAATGTACACTTACTGTGTAAATGTTAAAGAATAAGTTCACTTTTGGAACATGTTACATGTTCCACCTGAAACAGCTCTGTAAGTTAGGCTATCCCTGTGCCCTCCTCTTCTGTAAAAGTGTTTTCAGTGTTTGATAGAGCCCGATTACCGGCTCATCCTCCTCAAGTGTTAGTTCTACAGCTGAGGGTGGGAGGGGAGGCATTTGCACCATGTTACCCCCTAAATACAGGTATAAAATGTAACATGGTGCAAAAGGTGAACTTAGCATTCAAATTCTATATACATTTTCCCACCCCTGCTCTCTTTGTCACATATTCTGCATTACATGGTGTTAGTTAGGTGGTGCAGTTACAGGACAGAGTCTCTGCATTGGGCATGGTGCCATGTCCATAGATTATCCTTGATAGAATGTGTATACACAGGCCTTACCTACAGTTAGTTATTTGATACCACAACAAACTTCATTTCCATTACATTATTTGCCAGGATTATAGGTATGTTTAGGAAACTGAATGAGTAACCTTTACTACCTCTTCTACCCCATATTGTGCTACTGTGGCCTGAACTGAAAAATATGTAGAATTAGATATTTATTTTTTCTTGCCATCTCATTTTAAAATTATAATACCTTTTCTCCAGGTTATATGCACATCAGTAAAATGGAAACATTTTAGTGGTACACCACACAGACACAATTTTGATAAAGTCATACTACATTTACCAATCACCCAGAAGGTCATAAAGTCACTCTTCATAAAGAACTAACGCAGTGCATTTTCATGGGATTTCAATTGTTCAGAGCTTTATCCTGCTAATTCAATTATTCAGCCCTTCCTGAACAAATGTGAAAGCAGTTCTGTGTAGCAGGAAAATGTATGAGCCAGCAGGCAAACCATCTATTTCACTAATGGTACAAGCATTTTTTGAAAAAAAAAACAACTTTGCTCTGCTTGTTAATAAATATGTTTGTTTAAAGTTTTCGAACAAGCAGCATGTGCATTTTATAGTTATGTCTCTTGAGAATGCTTCATTTAAGGTATTCATTTATCACTAGATTATTGTAGCTCATATTATGAAAATCTATAATTTAATTTAAAGCAGATAATTGCACTGAGATCAGACAAGTTCTCTTGGGAAGAAATGTCTCATGTTGTAACTTCTGTATATAATTGGTGTAGCAGTTTAGTAGCAATCACTGACACCACAGTAAGAATGTTTTTCTATTATATTCCTGTGAAGGACCATGTAACTGATCCATAGAAATTGATTCAAGGGGTTTATTTGTAAAGAGTTGCAGGTTCACCCAGATATCATCAGATATCATCATGCATTTCCCAATGCGTAATTTGCTGAGTTATAAATTGAAATTGCTTCCCTTACTCCCATGTTAAATGCTTCAACAGTACCAGAAAGTGCCAAAGCCTTTTTTAATTTAAACAGCACTACATGGTATACAGGTATGTGGAGGCACCACTTTATACCGGTCAGCAGCTGTTTTCGTTGGTTTTTGTTAAAGTGGCAGTGGTAGAGGTTTGGATTTTGAGTCAGTTGATGATGGAGTGGATATTTTGGTTGGGGTAAAAGGATAGGATTTAAAATGTAAGGTGGTAATTAAAATATAGGGATTAGTTCAAGGTTTGAGGTTAGACTAGGGGAAAAGGGCTTTTTTTAGCCTAGGTTGACAGTAGAGTGGTGCGGTAAATCCCATGTGATTTGCACAGGAACCTCACTGCATTCCTGTACAAATCACATGCGATTTGTATGCGGTGTGATTAGAGCCATACATTTTGTATGGCTCTAATCACACCACACCCAAAACGTGGTCCGCACTAGAATCAAATCGCATCGGTATTCACACCTATGCAATCCGATTCTGCACATCGCACCGTGTTTTGCAGACTGATGTTGGGGTTTTGTTAACTTAACATACACACCCGCATCGTTCCTATCAACGGGGTGCGATTGTGATGCGGTGCAGAAATGCGCACTGAAAACACTGCAAATTCCACACCGCATCAGTGTGAAACAACACTGAGGGATTAGGTTAAGTCCTCATGCACACTGGATGTTTTTACAGCGGCTGTTTTTTGGCTTTTGACATTTTTTTCTAAAGCTAGTAAATCCCCCAGCATGTTATCCTATGTGTCCATGCACACATAGACTGTAATCGACGTTTTTTGGCAGGGACGTTTTTTGGCTGGAAAAAAAAAACAGAACTAGTGGGTTTCCAGAGGAGTTTTTTCAGCTGTAAAAACGCTCTAACGCTGAAAAACACGGCAAAACATGGTAAAACATGATAAAATGGTGCAAACTGGCATTTGTGGACTTTTTGGTCAAAAAAAGCTGAAAAATGCAGGAAAACACAGCTAATCGTAGCAAAACGCCACTAAACGCTAATGCAGAAATGCTAAAAAAAACTGAAAAACTCACATTTTTAACATGACTTTACACAGCTAACGTTACCAACATTATCAAAATGCCCCGTGTGCATGAGGACTAAGAGTTCAGGTAGTATGTTTAGTGTTGGACACTAATTATGTTAGCGGCACTAAGGAGAGCTTTTTCTATTGTCCTTGGTGCTGAAAAAACAACTATACTGAGCAAATCCAGCAATTTCTGATAGATACACTGACAACTATTTATACCTGTTGCACACTGTTTGAACATTTTCCACAGTCACCTGGTAACAATAATATATACTGACAAATTTGACTATGAATGCCAATCTGTAATAGATGCCTTGGTTTAGGAAGTCCATGTTCTATGCTGTGGGTTTAGGTGCCAGTGTGCTAATCTTCTGGAATTCCAGTTACAGTGCCAGATATTGATGGCAAAGAAACAGTTTAGCACACTCCCTTAAAGTGGTTATTTTTTTCTTTAAAATAACAAACACATCATACGTACCTGCTCTGTGAAATGGTTTTTGCACAGAGCAGCCCTGATTCTCCTCTTCATGGGTCCCTCTGCCAGCGTTTCTGGTCCCTTACCCCCACTGAGTGCCCCTAATGCAAGCTGCTTACTCTGGAGCACTTAGGCGTGCTCGCTCCTGAGCTGCCTCTGTGTGTCTATGGGACACACAATGCATTTCCCAATCCCACCTCCGCTCCTTCCTCACTGGCTGTGATTAAAAGTTGCGGGAGCCATCTCAGCCAATGAGAGGAGAGAGATCCAGGAGAGCCTTGCCTCTTGTGCACATTGCTGGACTGGGATCAGGCTCAGGTAAGTATTTGTGGGGGCTCCACACTGGAGGTTTTTTATACCTTTATGCATAGAACATATGAAGGTAAAAAACCTTCAGCCTTCACAACCACTTTAATAGACATTATTTTGCTCCACTTAGGAGCTACTACATTGTTTTCACCGACATCGCCATCAGTAGTAGAATCAATAGCATTCCTAGATCCATCAGTCTTATTGTTATCTTCAAAAGAGAAAAGAAAGGATAAGCCCTTGTCCATACTAATGATCTATCTCTCATTTGGTTTGACTTGCTGCCTCCTAAAGGGGTCTTGTGCAAAATCACCATCTACAAAGGTAGTTTGTGTCCTCTAATCCCAAAACAATGCAGTTACAAGCAGGTTACATTACATTAAATAAATGAGATAAAGCAAAAACAAAGCACGATTTAGTAATGTCAGAAGGCAGTATGCATGCTGGAATGTTTTACACTTACACAAATGAGGTCCTTGTTAGTCTAATTTGCGATACCACACAAGGGCAGAAGCTCCTGTCTTTTTAAAAGCCAATGGATCTAAAACAAGCACTATTGTAAGTTTGGATCTGTTTATTTCCCATATTGTTATCACAGGCAGGCATTGTTAACTAAGTGTGAAGAAAACTTTTACCTTAGTACATATTTGGCACTGCAGTGGTATACATAAAAATCAGAATATTCACTGAACATAATTATATTGCATTGACTTGCTTCTCTCAATGATGAACTAACTAGCTGGAAACTAGATTTAGATTATTGTAAATGGTTTATTCACAGATCTAACTGATCAACATCATTATTTTACAGCTGTATTGTGCTTTATGTTGAGTGCCCTTGGAGTGACTGCTGGTGCTCACCGCCTCTGGAGTCACAGATCCTACAAAGCCAGACTTCCCCTGAGGATGCTTCTGGCAGTTTCAAATACTATGGCATTTCAGGTAAACATTTTATATGCTTACTGTGCAGAAAATTGGAGGATGAAGAACCTACTACAGTAGAATAAAAGTATCTTGGGGCCTTGGGTTAATATTTGTTTTCCTAAAATAAAAAAAGATGTTATACTTGCCTGCTCTGTGCAATGATATTGCACTGGGTGGTCTCTTACATTCTCTTTTGGTATCCCCCACCAGTATTGTCTGCTCTTCTTTCTCTTTCAAGGTGACCTCATACCAAACCATGTGCTATAGGAGCACCCATTCAGGCGCACTCCTGAGCTGGGCTGTGTGCATACATAGACACACACAGTGTGGCTCAGCCACACATCTTGCTCCTTCCTCACAAGATTTGACTGAGAGCAACTGTAGTCTATGGCCCCCACTGCTATCAGTGTGCCCTGTGAGACCAGGAAGAGAGAACAGCGATACTACAGATGGACACAGCACTGGATCGATGTTAGTTAAGTGTTTGAGGGGGAGACAGGTAGTGGAACGATTTTTACCTTTATGCAGAGAATGCATTAAGATAAAAAACCTTTTGACTTTAGAACCAGTTTAAGCTTTATAACAGTTTGTAACATCTACAATATTTTGACTCATGTGTGACCACTGCTGCCACTCATGAAGATATCATCATGGGAAATTGTTTGCTACTCCGAATGCATGTGGTCAGTCCATATAAACAATACATACCTGTGACTTATTTGTGAATGTGTCCATAGCAGGCCTGGATTGGCTGTCTACCAGTTGCCAGCAGAAATGGTTAGATAGCTAATATAAACTCAGGAATCTAGTTCATGCTTGGAAAAATATAAATAACATATATATCTATATATATATTCCCAAAAATACATTAACAAATGTGTAAGGGTTGGAAACAACATTAAATTCCTAGTAGTTCCAATAAAAAGGTTGGTTGTAAACGTTTGATTCTTTAAGAAAAAAAAAAATAGCAAACATGTTATATGTACCTGGTCTGTGCAGTGGTTTTGCATAGAGCAGCCCTGATCCTTCTCTTCTTGGGTCCACTGCTTGTGCTCATGGAGCCTCCAATGGCTCCTGCTTCTGTGTCTAAGCCAATGAGCAGGGTGAGAGCCTCCGCTCTCCTGCATAGTGCTGGATCAAGATTGGGCTCAGGTAAATATAAGGGGGGCTGGGAGGAGTTGCATACTGAAGGATTCTTACCTTAATGCAGAGAATGCATTAAGGCAAAAAGCCTTCACCCTTTACAACCACTTTAAATTAGCAAAATGGATGTAAAGAAAACAGGCAGTCTACAAAACTGCAAAACTGCTACAAAGAGTAAAACAATTATCAAAAGAAAACAAAATAGAGGTTTCTGTGTATTTATTTCCAAATGTACTATTTCCAGCTAAACATTTTTCTAATGGAGGTATAAAAATGCACTACACACACACAGGAGGTTTTCTTCACCCCCGCCCCTCAATATAAAATGTTTACAGACTGCATGCAAAGAACATCAAAACGCACTGCAGTGTATAAAACATTCACTTAAAAACAAAAGGGCAAAAGTGAGAAGGGCCCTAAGTAAGTACTAAGTAAATAAAACAACATCCTCTCTAAATACTTTAAAAAGGTTCTGGTAAATAAAGTTACATTTTTTTTCCTTTGTTTTAGAATGACATATATGAATGGGCACGAGACCACCGGGCACATCACAAATACTCTGAAACAAATGCAGACCCTCATAATGCAATGAGAGGCTTCTTTTTTGCCCATATTGGTTGGCTTCTTATGCGAAAACACCCAGATGTTATAGAAAAGGGAAAAAAGCTTGATTTAAGTGACCTCCATGCAGACACAGTGGTGATGTTTCAGAGAAGGTGAGTTATTCCTAAGATGTGACTCAGACATTGATATATGTATATTTTGCAGTGGCAGTGTCTTTAGACAATCTATGTTCATTATAATCACTGTTAGTTGTTCTGACACATTCGTAAAGATGCAAACATTATTTATTATATAGTAAACCATTACAGTTGCAATGTTCTTTCATTTCAATCCCAACTACCATAAAAACAAATGAAGCAGAACACAGCTACAGTTCAGAAATGGCCTTGTTCTAGCATCATCAGCACTATCAGCCTTGTTTTTTATTTTTGCAAAGTGAAAAAGGGAATCTATACTTGTCACAGCACAAGGGGAACTAACAAAGGCTGCACACTTCTACCTTTGTTGTATTCCTACTCTTCTCTGATCTGCTGATGGGCTCCTGAGGAAGACCTGAACTTCTGAGTATGGGTATACATGTACCCAGCATTCTATAATGCAGTGCTCAGTGTCTGATAGACTTGTTGCAAGGTCTGAGCACTGTCACATGGGGCAAGGAAGTGTGCCTACCTCTAGGCACATGATGACTTTAAAAAATGCATTACCTGCATAGTATTTTGGGTGGACTTTAGGGTCACGGTAAAGGTAGAATTAGAGACCTTGTGATGAGTTCCTGGTAATTTAACCTTAAAGCATATGTTTAGGCAAAATTTTAAAAAATGCAGTATGTCTCTATAATAAATGCAGTGGGTTTTTTTAAAGACAAAACATCAGGAAATGTGCAAGCACAGAAATTGCTGATCCTGCTAGAATTCCAGTGTGCCCCTAACTTCCTGTATTGAACTGACAACGCTGCTTCTGCTGCGCTGAAATCTCGATGCATGAGTCTCCTCTGCTAGACCACAAAGTGTCTCCTACTTATGTTATGAAAATTAAGTGAAGTTTTCTGTAGCCTAGGAGTATAATCATTCTACATTCTCCTGTTTATTTACCAACAGCTATGTAGTGCAAGGGCCTACCTTATTAACTAATCAATTTATATACAGTCAGTTGTGCAATTGTACTACATAGTTGTTGGTTAATTTAAATGAGAATGTACAATCAGATTGTAAAGTGCATGACATGGTAAGAATTTAAAGCAGGAAGTATTTAAAACCTGAAAATCACATGAAAATGACAGTAACACGTTGCAAAAATAACTGACTCAACATCCACTCCTATAGATAAAGATAACAGCCTAAGGCGCCATCCTCACTAGCATTTTTTTTTTAGCTCAAAAAACACTGGATAAAAAAACACTGGTAATAGCATTTTTTAGTAGTGTTTAGAGCGTTAGCATTTTACTAGTGTTTTTACAGTACAAAAAACTAGAAATAACTGTTAGGAGCATTTCAGTAATGTTTAGCATTCAGGGGTTTTTATTCTGTTGGAAAAACTCTCCCAAAATCTCTAAAAAAAAAATGTTTCTGCTCCTAAACGCTGAAGCTTGAAAAACGCTACTAGCCTAAAATAGTGTGCATGGACACATATGATAACACTCTTTAGTTTCGAGGAGAAGAAAAAAATGCTGATAACATCTTTTAGGAGCTTAAAAAAACGCTTGTGTGCATGGAGCCTTAAAGTGCAACTTTAGTCATAACTTAAGTCCTGCTAGATCATTTCAGGCTGGCCCCTTTTGCAGGTATAGCTATGTAAAACATTAAAAATAAGTGCCTATACAGTTTAGAATCCAGTAATACACTGGCTCACCCTGCTCTGCATATGTTCAGTTGCCCCATATTTTTAAACACTGTGCCGAATTTGTAGAGGCCAGTTCGCTGACATCCCAAAGATTTACTGGGACTCTGGGCATTAGCAAAATGGCCACCTCCAGCAAGAAGCAATGCTGGATGCAATTTACAGCACACACAATTTTGGTAGCATAATTATTAATGTGAAATGGATGTTTCATGCTAAATAACATTTTTTTTATCAAGTTGTCATGGGTAAAATTCTGCTTTAAGCTGCCCATATATTAGTTAGTTTTTTTCATTGAACCAGCGGGTTGGATAAAAAAAATATGACCTGATTCTTTAATCCACACATTCAAGGTGGATTGGAGAATTCTCCCAGCTGAGGTATTGTAGTCTGATAGCAGCAAGGCTTCCCTGCCATCTGAATACACTGCTCGGGTCTGCAGTCTGTAGTTTGCAGCACTGATTGATAAGCTAAAATCCAACAGAGCGGCTGTGCAAAAGTTGATTGGGTGATTGAATTCTTCTGTGCAACCTCCCTGCCCATAAATGGATCAAGGTTCGTCCAGACCCTGCTGAACCGGCAGAATTTTGATCCATGTGTGGCCAGCTTTACTGGGACTGGGACTTTATTAGGGTATGAGGCTGAAATTTGATCCTTGCCTTCAGCAGAGCTAACAAGCCAAAATGCTTAGACTTTTGCTCGTGTATACAGTAGTACTGGAGGGATCATGGAGCAGCAGAGTGAGAAGAAATCCATATCTGAAACATGCTTTAAATTTGCCATACTCTAGCAAATATATTATCTTACATTTTAGCCATTATTTCACACTGGCACCACTATGTATTAATTTCTCATCTACTTTTTGTACCAGGCATTACAAGAAACTCATTCTACTGATGTGCTTTGTGGTTCCCACTGTGGTCCCTTGGTATTTCTGGGGTGAATCTTTTTACATTTCATTATACGTACCCTGTCTATTGCGCTATGCTTTGGTGCTTAATGCGACATGGCTTGTGAACAGTGCAGCTCATATGTATGGAAACCGACCATATGACAAGAACATCAACCCAAGGGAGAATAAACTTGTTGCTATAGGAGCAATTGGTATGTATTTATTGTCAACGATGATTATAAAGCTTTATTACATTTATAAATTAAATAAACATTGAATTAAAATGCAATTCTGACAATATGTTACCCAACACTATACATAGTATAGCACAGCATTTACTCATTTGTTAGTTTCATTGAAAATATGTGCTGTAAATACATACACTTATGCATAAGGGACAGGATCTTACAAGGTGAAAGTGATGTGGTAAACTTCACAAGACAAATTCACATACCTCAGTGATCTCCATAAAATAGGTGTATCTGCTACATGAGGCTGTATCATGACCTGCCTTTACCATCATGTAGGCATGGAGCTACTTTACATAAGACTAAAGAGTCACAGCAAACAGCAGTTCTCTCTAAGCCCACCATAGGATTTGTTGAATTTAATCCCTATAATGTGTAATTTCTGACCAAAAATACTGACATTTGTAAATATTAATACTCAAAAAAATCTAAATTGTTGATTTCAAATGTAATGATATTTTATGTTATACACAGACAAACCTACTGTATATATGGAGTCAGACCAGAAATAATATATTCAATCTTTGGATGGCAGTCTGCATTTCAACTGCTTTATACTGTAAAAATAAATTCATACTTTATACATGACACTGTGCTGCTACTAAGGCAGGTCATAGACGAGTTGAAAACCAATCGTTCTGTCAATCAAAAAATTAATATGGCACATATGATTGTGCTATAATTTGTTTTGTTTTTTTAAACAAAATCCAGCATGTTGGATCAGGCACTTTTGACCTGGCACACTAATGATGCCAAAAAAGAATGACCAAGAACTTTTGTTGGTTTTAGACTCATTCATTGTCTGCTTTAAATGTAACAAAATGCTGTTATTGTTGTTATCAGATTACTGCTTACTTCTCTGTGTTTCTTTGGAGAAGAGACCAAACTTGTAATTTCATTCCATTCAATCCATGGCCTTGGTTCCCAGACCTTGTTTGCTTAGTTATCAGTTCCTGTATCACTTGTTCCTCTAATCTCTATTGCTATACAGTAGCCATACAAATCCAAAGTAGTTGTTGATTTTATTTATCTCTGTACAAACATTTCCATTCTAGGCTGCTCATTCACACTGGATGCATTTTCTCAATGCAATCAAAATGCATTGGTCACAGAAAAAGTACACTGTTTAGAGGGGATTTTTCATGTCAGACTGCTATATTGCAGTGCATTAAAAAAAAGTCATGCATCTTTTTTGGTGCATTAAAGTATAACTAACGGCAATTTTGTTTGTTTTGGATAGAGTGTAGAGGAAATAGAACACTTGTCAGGCTTTTAACGCTGCCTGTACCCCTGTTACGGAGATTCACTCATTCTATTTGTCCTGTATACCGTTATCACCGAGAGCGAAAGTGAAAGAATTGTGGATTGTCAGAACAGGAATATAGGAAACATTTCCAATGAAGATTTCCTAAGATTTGAGGGTTTTCCTCTGATTTCTCATTTTGGCTGTGTGAAAAAAAAGGTTTTACCATTAGTTCTACTTTAGCTTACATTTTGCCTTTCAAGTCAAATGAATTGTGAGCCTAAAACCCATTGTAATACTTGAAAGTTGTTGCGAAATAGCCTAGAGGGCTATGAAAAACAAAGATATCCTGCAAACCAAATAACTAGAGAAAGATGTGAAAAGCAAAAGTAGGCAAAGAGATGGTTATTTTTCTTTCTCTCTTAAAACAGTTTTTACCATCAAATGAAATGTTTTACACTGCTATCCCTAACAGCCAGGAGGGCAGACCATCTGGGAGGGGTGGTGAGGGTAGTGCAGGAAAGCCTAGACAGCTGGAGGTAGTAGGGGATTCTATAGTCAGAGGAACTGATAATAATTTGTCGCCAGGATCGCCTAAACCGTATGGTTTGTTGTCTCCCTGGTGCCAGGGTTCGGCATGTGGTGGACCGGGTTGATAAATTACTGGGAGGGGCTGGGCATGACCCAGCTGTCTTGGTTCATGTTGGAACCAATGACAAAATACATGGAAGGTGGAGGCTCCTTAAGAATCAATTTAAAGAACTAGGCTGCAAGTTGAAGGGAAGGACCTCCAAGGTGATAGTCTCTGAAATATTACCTGTGCCATGCGCAACTCAGGAAAGACAGGAGGAGATTAGAGAACTCAATGCATGGTTGAAGACCTGGTGTAAGAGGGAAGGATTTGGGTTTCTAGAGCACTGGGCTGACATTTCATTGGGGTGCAACCTATACGCTAGAGATGGTCTGCACCTAAATGGAAGGGGGTCTGCTGTGCTGGGTGAGAGGTTTATGGGAAGGCTGGAGGAGAATTTAAACTAGGATCGAGGGGGGAGGGAGAATTAGATTATAACGGAGTAGACAGATCAGACAAGGGTCAGTACTTATTAGTGGAATGGGGAAAGATGAGGGGAAGGCTATGGCAGTTGATAAGAAGGTTCCCATATTACAAACAACCAGTGGAATTGGTACCATTTGTATGAAAATAAAAAAATATGCAAAATACGTGTGAACAAGGTGTCAATGCATGTTTGTTCACCAATGCCAGAAGTCTGCCAAGCAAAATAGGTGCGTTTGGAAGCTTTGGTGCATGAAGAGAACTATGATTTAATTGGTATTGCTGAATCTTGGCTTCATTCTTCACATGACTGGGCCATTAATATTCCTGGCTATGTTCTCTTTTGGAGAGACAGGGTAAATAGGAAAGGTGGTGGTGTCTGTCTCTATGTGTGAAGTGATCTCAGAGTGAGTGTGAAAGAGGACCTAGTTGATGGAGAGTGTGATGAGGCTGAAGTATTATGGGTGGAACTGATGATGGGGTGCGTACTACAAAGGTAATCATTGGAGTTTGTTATAGGCTTCCAAGTGTTAATGAGGAGGTGGAGACTCAGCTCCTTGCACAGATTGAAAGGGTTGCAAGGGCTGGGACAGTGATAATAATGGGGGTTTTAACTACCCAGAAATTGACTGGAGTAATGGTACTGTAGGAACAGTTAAAGAGCAAACATTTTCAACCTACTACAGGACAGTTTTATGGTACAAATCATAAAAGCCCCTCCTAGGAATGATGCTCTACTGGACCTGGTAATTTCAAACCATGCAGAGCTTATTACGAATGTCCATATAAAAGAACATCTAGGTAGTAGTGATCATAACATGATTTAATTTATTGTTAGCTGTAAACAGCGAGCACTTACTGGATAAATAAAAATGCTCAATTTCAAGAGAGCTAATTTTCCAAGGCTGAGAGCTGCTCTCCAAGACTTAGACTGGGAGGGAATATTGGCATCAATGAACACAACACAGAAATGGGAGTTCGTCAAAAAGACTGTATGTGAACACGCTGCAAAATATATTCCCATGGGCAACAAGTTTAAAAGGCTAAAAATCCAACCTATGTGGCTTACGGCCAAAGTTAAAAAAGCTATAGATAATAAGAAAAGAGCTTTTATTAAATATAAAAATGAAGGAACGCTATCATCGTTTAAACATTACAAAGAATATAACAGAATATGCAAAAAGTAAATAAAGGCCGCAAAAATTGAAAATGAACAAAAGATTGCAAAAGAGAACAGGACGAACCCCAATAAATTCTTCAAATATATTAATAGTAAAAAGGTCCTTTACAAAATAATCTAGAGTGGATGACTGGGGACAAAGACAAGGCACATTTATTAAATACCTTCTTCAGCTCTGTGTATACAAAGGAGCATGGGGGAGCTCTTTTCCATAATGAGCATGGAATTGACAAAGCTCCAGATGATCCACATTGGCTCACAATTGATATGATCCAAAAATATTTAGACATTATAAAGGTGAATAAAACACCTGGACCGGATGGCATACACCCACGGGTCTTTAAAGAATTGAACTCTGTCATTTCAAAACCATTGTTTCTAGTTTGTAGGGACTCTAATGACTGGCATAGTACCATTGGATTAGTGTAAGGCCAATGTGGTGCCAATATTTAATAAGGGGTCAAAATCTTTACCAAGTAATTATAGACCTGTTAGTTTAACTTCTATAGTTGGGAAGATACTGGAGAGTTTAATAAAAGACCACATAGATGAGTTCTTGCTGGAAAAAAATATTTTAAGCAACATACAGCATGGATTCATGAAAGCCAGAAGTTGTCAAACAAATCTGATTTCTTATTATGAGGGGGGTGAGCAAAACCTTGGACAGAGGGGTGGCGGTGGACATGGTATACTTGGATTGTGCAAAAGTGTTTGACAGAGTTCCCCACACATGGCTAATGTGTAAGGTAAAGTCTATGGGCTTGGAAACATTTGTATGTAAATGGATAGAAAACTGGCTAAAAGATCGTATTCAGAGAGTAGTGGTTAATGATTCATACTCTGAATGGTCTAGGATTGTTAGTGGTGTACCCTAAGGTTCAGTGTTGGGACCCTTACTTTTTAATATATTTATAAACAATATAGGGTCTGATATTAAAAATCCCATTTCAGTCTTTGCAGATGACACCAAGCTGTGCAGTGAAATAACGTCCTTACAGGATGTCTTCAACTTACAAGCCGACCTCAATGCACTGTTTAATTGGGCAACTATGTCGCTAATGAGGTTTAATGTTGATAAATGTAAAGTTATGCACTTGGGGGCTAAGAATATGCATGCATCATACATACTAGGGGGAGTACAGCTCGGGGAATCAATGGTGGAGAAGGATCTGGGGGTTCTGGTAGACCACAAGTTTAATAATGGCATGCAATGCCAAGATGCAGTTTCTAAAGCGAGCAAAATCCTCTCTTGTATTAAAAGAGGTATAGACTCCAGAGAGAGAAATATCATTTTACCCCTGTACAAATCATTAGTAACACCTCATCTGGAATATGCAGTTCAGTTTTGGGCACCAATTCACAAAAAGAACATTGGGGAACTGGAGAAAGTACAAAGAAGGGCAACCAAACTGATAAGAGGCATGGAGGAGCTCAGCTATGAGGAAAGATTAGAGGAACTGAATTTATTCTCTTGAGAAGAGGAGATTAAGGGGGGATATGATCAACATGTATAAATACATCAGTGGTTCACATAGTGAACTTGGTGTAGAGCTATTCATCCTGAGGTCATCACAGAGGACAAGGGGGCACCCTTTACGTCTGGAGGAAAAGAAATTTAATCTCCAAACACGGAAAGGTTTCTTCACTGTGAGAGCTGTGAAAATGTGGAGTAGACTCCATCAAGAGTTGGTTCTGGCCAGCTCAGTGGATTGCTTCAAAAAAGTCCTTAGATACACAGAATATAACTGGATACTAACATGTATAGGTAAAGTTGATCCGATTTCCTCTCGAGGGATCAGGAAGGAATTTTTTTCCCAGCAGGAGCAAATTGGACCATGCTTTGCTGGCTTTTTTTTTCCTTCCTCTGAATCAACTGTGGGGTGTAGGATTATAACTTTTTTTTTTTTTTTTTTTTTTTTTTAATGGTTGAGCTGGATGGACTTTTGTCTTTTTTCAGCCAGACTAACTCTGGTTTTGAATCATTATTATATATTTAAAGAATAACAACCAGCTGCCTTATGTAAATACATGAATGTGATCTGAGTATGGTGCGTATGTAGCACTAGCAGCTCCAAAGGGACCCACAGAAGACTGCGTTCATTTGGTACTTATGAATTTGACAGGTTTCTGACAACTATTCAGCTGTCCAAAGTGCACTAATGACTGTAGAATCATATAAGATGAAAACTTTAACAGCCAGACCATAGGCATCTACATAGAGAAATAGGTGTAGCACTGTGGTTTACATTCTTTGTATGGCCATAGATAGGTATGCCTGTAAAGGTGAGATCAGGGAGGAATCATCTCTTGGTGCTTTGTGTTACTGCTGCCTAATGTGAAAAGGTGCCAAAGAAATTTTCTCACAAAAAATTATGTCTGGTAAGAGCTTAGCTGGATCATGCAGCATCTGGGCACAGCACAAGTCCAAAGACATTTGGATGCAGACAGATGTAGAAAAGGATCATTCACTTGTCAGTGGGGAAATAGAGAACAAATGCTCACAGGGATTTTCCAACACATACATCTCTTTGTATGATGAGTACTTCTGACAGGTTCTGTATGTAGATACCGATGATCTTATAGCAGCGGTTCTCAACCTGTGGGTCGTGACCCCTTTGGGGGTCGAACGACCATTTCATAGGGGTCGCCTAAGACCATCGGAAATTACATATTTCCGATGGTCTTAGGAACCGAGACACAGCTCCTCTATCCATCTCCAGGCGATGTGTGGGTGGGATGACATGCCGCCCCTGTCATCTGGCCACACCCCCGAGATCACTCAACAGCTCCGCCCCCTCACCGGTGATTGGCCGCCGGAACTGTAGCTCAGGAGAGGCACACAGGCGGCCAATCACCGGCGAGGAGCTTGGAGAGGAGGAGCCGAGCGGCAGTGTGAAGATCAAAGAAGATTGAGTGAGGGAGCTGCCGGAGCGAGTGAAGAGGAGAGCGGTCAGAGAAGGAAGAAAGCTGACCGGTAAGTGTCTGTACCATGCAGATGGTGCTGCTGCAGCCAGGTATGCTGGCTGTAGATGGGAGAGGGAGGGAGCGAGCCCAGGCTAGGGTGAGCAAGGTAAGTATCATTGGTGTCGGTGGGAGGAATAGCGCCCCATCATTGGTGTCACTAATACCAATGATGGGGCACTATTTTCCCCTATTGACACCAACAATGGGGCACTATTCCTCCCCCCACTGACACCAACGATGGGGCACTATTCCTCCCCCCACTGACACCAACGATGGGGCACTATGCCTCCCCTCACTGACACCAACGATGGGGCACTATGCCTCCCCTCACTGACACCAACGATGGGGGGCACTATGCCTCCCCTCACTGACACCAACGATGGGGCACTATGCCTCCCCTCACTGACACCAACGATGGGGCACTATGCCTCCCCTCACTGACACCAATGATGGGACACTATTGCTGCCCCCACTGACACCAACGATGGGACACTATTGCTGCCCCCACTGACACCAACGATGGGGCACTATTGCTGCCCCCACTGACACCAACGATGGGGCACTATTGCTGCCCCCACTGACACCAACGATGGGGCACTATGCCTCCCCCCACTGACACCAACGATGGGGCACTATGCCTCCCCCCACTGACACCAACGATGGGGCACTATGCCTCCCCCCACTGACACCAACGATGGGGCACTATTCCTCCCCCCACTGACACCAACGATGGGGCACTATTCCTCCCCCCACTGACACCAACGATGGGGCACTATTCCTCCCCCCACTGACACCAACGATGGGGCACTATCCCCCCCCACTGACACCAACGATGGGGCACTATCCCCCCCCACTGACACCAACGATGGGGCACTATCCCCCCCCACTGACACCAATGATGGGGCACTAACCCCCCTCTACTGACGCCAATGATTGGGCACTATTCCCCCCCACACTGACACCAATGATGGGGCATTATTCCCCGCCCCCACACACTGACATCAATGATGGGGCACTATTGCTCCCACACTGACACCAATGATGGGGCACTATTTCTCCCACTGATACCAATGATGGGGCACTATTCCTCCCAATGACACCAACGATGTGGCACTATTCCTCCCACTGATACCAATGATGGGACACTATTTCTCCCACTGATACCAACGATGGGGCACTATTCCTCCCACTGATACCAAAGATGGGACACTATTCCTCCCACTGACATCAGTGATGTGGCACTACTCCTCCCACTGACACCAGTGATGTGGCACTACTCCTCCCACTGATACCAATGATGAGACACTGTTCTTCCCACTGATACCAATGATGGGACACTATTCCTCCCACTGACATCAGTGATGTAGCACTACTCCCACTGACACCAATGATGTGGCACTGCTCCTCCCACTGACACCAATGATGTGGCACTGCTCCTCCCACTGACACCAATGATGTGGCACTACTCCTCCCACTGCAAATTTATAGTTATGAAGTAGCAACAAAAATAATTTTATGGTTGGGGGTCACCACAACATGAGGAACTGTATTAAAGGGTCGCGGCATTAGGAGTGGTTGAGAACCACTGTCTTATAGGCTTCATGCACATAGTGGTGAGAGGCTGGAGATCTGTCCAGCATGAAATTCAGGCCGTTCTCCCATGCCCAGGGAACTACAGATTCTGCACAAAGCCTGCCATGCAAGTGAATGAATGTATGTGGCTGTATTCTTATAATCGCTGATGTTTCTGGTCTTACACTATAGTGAATGCTCTTTGTACATCTTTCGTGCAGACACAGATGTACTGCCGGCCTAATTTACTACAGATATAAATGATCATTTTGGCGACACATATCTATGACACACTAACCGTATCATACGTAGCTAAGACTAACAGCATCTCGTGCATTTATGTGGAAGAAGTGTAATACGTAATCTAAAATAAAGCAACAATGACATACATGTACAGTATATGTAAATGCAATTTTGTGTAAAATGACCTAGTATATAAAATTATAGCTCCAATGATTCTAAATTCTGAATACTATTTTTCATCTTCCTCTAGGTGAAGGCTTTCATAATTATCATCACACATTCCCTTATGACTATTCTAGCAGTGAGTTTGGAATCAAATACAATCTCACTACATGCTTTATAGATCTAATGTGCTACTTGGGCCTTGCCAGTGACCGCAAGAGAGTCTCCAAAGATACTATCAAAGCTCGACAGCAGCGTACTGGGGATGGAAGCCATAGGAGTGGCTGAATACTGGGAAAAGAATGACCATTCTCAATATAGTTAACAAACAAAAACAAAAATAGATCAAGGATGAATATGATTACTTTAACATGATCCAGCACAGTGTTCTTTTAACAATGTACTTAAAGTAATTATAACTCCACCTTGAAGTTTTAGCATTCAGACCATTTCTTCTATTTGTTATATGTACTATTTCTTTATTAGGCTTTTGTATTTTGTTATTAGTTAAATTGTGTTTTATTGGTTGATATTTTGCCAAGCATTCACTTTCTTAAAGTTAGTGTAAATTCTTGACCTAATTCCATGAGATCTCTACTTGCTGTAAACTTTGTCTTGAACACTGACCACAACTCCAGCTCTCTCTTTCTCTTAAGTTATCTCATTGACAGCTCTCAGGCTTTCTGCAACAAGAATGAAATCAAATAGTGGACAACTTACAAGTGCCATTTTTTAACAATTTGTACATACGGAAAAAACAGCTAGATGAGTTTTGTATCTATTTCATTTACTCTTGTATAAAAGTGGTTTCTAGGTGTTCCTTTGCTGTCTTGCAACTGTTTGCCCTACCACTGATTCTAGATTAGGTGCAGTGTTAGGTTGCAGACTTTGTGACAAACGCTTCAAGTGAGTTGTGGCAGTATGCATATTAAAGATTGCTTAGACTATTAATGTGCGCATAAAGGTTCCACTCAACTGATTCAAATGGAAAAGTATAATAGTAGAGAGGTCAAGAAAGTAGGTTACTGAGTTGGCTTCCTCAGTAGAAATTTGTTGCCTCATTTTATGATTGCAAAAAGGATTCTATATTCAAAAACATTTAGGCTAATGCATTACTCTGTTTTATCCAAAACCACCAGCCTAGAGATGGTCATTCTGTGGCCTTGTAATGGCTTACAATGTTACTGTTTTGCTGAGCATGATAGAAACCTTGGATTTTCAGCATTGATCTAAACATTTACTATTGTAGAGGGGCAGTTTAGAAATGTATCATTGAGAGAGACACAGGTCCTTCCAATAATAGTATGTAATGTTTCATTTCCTTTATAATACATTGTTAAGGAAAACATAGAAGCCAGATTTTGATACTTTGATCATCCCAGTTAGCTGTGCCAACTTGTTCAGTAGATAGCATCATTTCTAGAAATTAGTGCATTGATGGGCATGGCTTGAAAATCCACCCTTTTGTATTTTATGATGTTTACTGTCAATCTTCAGTTAATAATGTAAAATATGTTGTCTGTTTAGAATATTTATAACTAGGATTTCTGTAGCAGTAAAAGCTAGTTGACATCCAAGTACTTAACTGCTTACAAGATACAAATAATACTTATAATATTTATCAGTTGAATGCACTTATTAGATTCATACCTGCCTAATTGTAGGAGAATAACGCTATTTCAGTTTTTTTAAAACAAAAAGCACTTAAATGGGCCAAAAAGGGTTTGCATTATGATATTCTTAAATTAGTACATGTTTACATCTCAACCAAGGATTATCCTGAAAGATAGAGCAGGTCATTAGTTGTCTAATGCTGTAAAGGGTGCTATACAACTGAGCAGGTTATACTTTAGAATAGAACAAAAATTATTTCCCCAAAATTTACTATAGCAGATAGCTGTTTGATGCTAAGGGCTGAAATGTACCATTAAACATTGTGGGTCCATACATATGGGCAACATAAATTAAATGGTGGATTTTCCCTGCATGACTTTTTTTTTTATGATCCTCTAGAAAGTATAATATTTAGGTTTTTTTGTGTATAGTGGACAAGCCCAGAAGATTGGGGCTTTAGTGCAAACAACTATGCCTAAAGGCTTTAGACATCCATGCAGCAAAGAAGTAAGACAAAAAAATTTACTAAAGTTTGGTTTAAGAAAACTGAAACAAATGTTGTGTTATGTTTTATTTCTTATCTTGATGGTTACTGGTCCTGCATACATAGATAATTTAAATAACATCCTGCTGAAGTGCAATGGTTAGAGCTTTTCAATAGAGGTTTGTTTTCCCCTTTGGAATATGACGGTATACTAAGACTATCTTCTGTCAATGTTGTATTGCATGTCTGATTTATTGTATTATTTGATAAGATGCTTATTAGAAATGGAAGGGGGTCCCATCAAAAAACCTGACAGTATCAGGCCTTCTGTACAATACTGCTACATATATTGCAGCATGCATGGTTAGTTTGGGAATCCAGCTTAAGCCTCCAATAAGAGAAAAACAAACTGAACATATGTTATCTAGTCATCAGTAACAAACTAATGTAATGTAAAATAGTAACATGAAAAATAATGTAACCAGTTCCAGCATTGCATGGATAGATTATTCTAGCTGTCCATCCATAGATAAAGTCTGTATTTGTATTTTAAATATGAGCTAAGAAGTTCTGCTTTCTAATTCATTTTCTATAGTACAATTTCTCTCCCTGGTAATATTACCATGCAGGCAGTTATGTCTTTTTTTCATTGCAGCACCTAATTGGTATAGGTTATAAAATGTAATCAAATAAATAAATGAATTACATTAATGTAATATTAATGTAATGTGGAGTACTTGAAATGTAGCCAAATGTGTGGTAAAGAGCTTAATCTTATAAACCTATTCCTTAAAAACCTTTGCTGTTCACTTGGTTGGATTGCAAATCTGAAACTTGATTCTCCAATTTATAGAATCATCTCAGTGTTATATAGAAATGTATGTGCACTTCTGTTGCTTTATTGTTGCAAGCAAATTCTAATAAATTATTTTTGTAAATTTGTTGGCTTTTAGCATGCTGCAGTCTCCCACTATAAGGGAAAAATAACTGTGTATGTATACACTTCTATTGATCAGCCTTTAGCAATCCCTTTTGACTTTACACTGTAAAGTACTAATTTTCTGATGTTGTATGTTTGCTCTTCCAGCCTTCTGATGCAGTTTGGAAGCATCAATTCCAGTCTCTAGAGACTGGAGGTTAGATCCTTTTTGGTCATCTAAAATCAAATATGTGACACTTTTTTGAACCTTGAGCTTGCCTGACAAATATGGTGCTGTATTTAAATACACACTATGTTTTTATTATTGCCTTTTTTGCATCAATTTATGACTAGACTAGCTTTGTAGTAAGTACGGCCACAATGGATTGGCTTAGTAGTAAGCTTGTTTAAATGTAGGCTGGTGCATTGAATTTTTACCAAAGTGTAATTTCCCTTGGCTTTCATAGACAATTCATATTTTTATGAACACAAGCACTTAGGCATAAAGCACTTATTCAATACGTTAATTTTCCTGGAGCGAATCTCTACCTTAAAGAGACATATCCCCTATGAGCCTAAACAATTTCAAAAGAAACAAGTTTAGGGCTGAGAATTAATGGTCAGATAAAAAATGTATAACTCAATGAAAGGAAAGGGGATGATGACTTTTCAAGGGTGGCATTGCTGTTAAATTGCAGACTTTTACAGGAATCAAGGAACCATCTTGGTCTCAGACAGTGTGTATGTATGATGTGCATTTATTAAGCACACGTTTAAAGAGGCCCTTATCCTTGTAGTAGAGGTTGTTCTTAAAGGCACTTAAATTAGACCAGACTTAGTGTTAGTCGGACTTGTGTGTTTTGCTCTGTCAGTGGCCTACTGTGCAGGCTTCATCCAGTTAAAGAATTTAAACCAAGTGAGGCTACAGCTGTTCCTCAGCTGACAAAGGCTACCCATTTCTACAGTGCTTTGCAGCTTCTTCCAGGATAAAATGCTGCACGATGCAAATATTACTATGATGCTAAAGCCCATGACTTTAGCACCATCCTCTGCATTAATATACTCTTGAGTGCTGGGTCCCAAGGTGGGCCGGGGGGTGATATGATGCCCTGCTCTCCAGGAAATGGGATGAATGGTACTGGGCATCATTCAACCTGAAAGAGAACCAGCGCTAGATGAGAGATTGAGTGAGTCTGTGGTGGTCAGTCTTGAGAGCAGATAGATTTTTGTTTTTAACAATTAGTGGACTATTTTTTAAAATAAAGTAGACTTGGGCTGTACTTATCAAGGTGCTATAATCTTTCTGGCATTAAGTGTGGCCATCAGTAGACATAATGCAGCTGTGTGAATTTAGTCTATTTATTTTTCACATACCTGTCTGAGCAAACTGTTTTCTTCCCCATATAATGGAATATCTAATATCAGTACTACAGATAGCTTTTGTGGGTCAGTCCAGTATTCTTAAGAGTGTAGTCTAGCCTATCTCTAGAAATTAGCACTTTGCCTAGTAAATGTGCAGGTTGTCCTGTCATACATATAGGTTGGGCCCATGTGATTGGCTGTGTACTTTTGGGGGATTTTTTTACTGAAAAGCTCACATTGGTATGTCATTTGCAAAATACTTGAATTGGAAAATATCCTCATTGTACAGGTCTTGGATCCTGTGAAGTCTTTCAGGCAGCAGGGCAGAGCAAAAAACAGGAATTCAGGTTAAATTTACTGTAGCCAGACCAGTGAAAGACGACATCTTCCTGCCTCTAATTAATTACTATACAATATAAACCTTTGCACTGCCTCATATAAATGTAACTCAAGCCCAAACTTTGTAATAGAGTGCAGAAGGATTGGAACATCTGTTGGCTTTTATTGCATGTTTCAGTCCCTATTTGGGAGATTTCCCATTTTGGTGACCCTGTTATTGGAATACAAAATGAGAGAAATCTTCCACAACAAGGATAGACCACAGTTAAACCTAATAGAGGTTCTACACCATCCCCACTCTATTCAAACGTGCAAAAAGTTTGTCTTGGAGTCATCTGTTGCACTGTCAAATGAACTCAAGTGAAAAGGATTAGACAAAAAAGGATGAGGGGCTCTGAAAGGTAAATCTGGCTTATCTATGTGCCCCATTTAATCTATTTTCTGGGAGTTCTCCTGTAAAAAACATTTAATACTAATACAATTTGTGATTGAGGTGCCTTCTCTGCAATGCCACATAACGAACCAGATTTGTTTTCTAATGGGCCTTGAAGTCTATGCTAATGCACAAAT